CGCGGCATAGAGTGAGTGAAAAGCTAAGAAAAGAGAACCCCCGAAACTTACAGTTTCTAATCATTTTGTTTCGGTGAAGCATTTTCTGTAATGGATTTTTCGATGTTATTTTCAGCCTTATGATTTTCTGATTAAGAAGCGGGTGATAAACTAATTGCTGTTGCCTCTAACTGACTCTAAAATAACAGAGAAACCGCATGTAGCTAACAATATTCCCACCTCCTTTCTTACGCAGTTTCATTAAAAATAAATTCATTTCAATTTTTATAAAGCACGCGTTTTAGATATCACATACTGAATGTGAACCAAAGCTAGTTTATGACTAGCCGCTAAAAACTTTTGGGTCATTTTACTTAATCCGCTGAAATTCGCAAAATCAACATACGAAAACATAACAGAAAAAAGTCGCTTCAGCTATCGAGGAAAATAATTTTATTAGAGACTTTTGGGTGGTATGTGGTCAATTACTTCAAGGGGACGGGCAAATGGCCATGCGCATACTCCTCCCCCTAAATCCACCACTGCATTGAGCTTTGCAGTATTTAAAATAATACTTGGAACTTCTACTTTGACAAACACATCTAAAATGATAACAAAGTTTATTATGCACAAAGAGCGTGAGGCAAAAGCTTATTCTCTTCAGAAGTTTTTCATTAATTAGAAATTTTAAAATTAGCTAAGTAGCGCGTGGATGCATCCCTGTGTTAACAGAAGAAAGTCTCTCCTCTTTTCAAAGGCCCTTGACATGGGCTCGGTAATACAAATAAATTGCATGTATCCAATTCCTGGTCGTCCCGATTTTGCTAAATATGTACACTGACGAATTCCGCCAAAATGTGCAACTCGGACTTGAATGTTCCGCAATTCAAAAACGAGAACGGGGGGAATAAACTATGAGCGGGATAGCTACTTGCGTTTTTACTCCCAGTATTTTTCATGCAGCTTACGCAGCCCGAAAAACTGCTTAAAATGGGCCAGTGCAGTCAGTTTTGGGCCCTAAAATGGTTAGCAGGCAGTAAAATGGACCGGCGCAGTGAGTTGGATAGCTGATAGTGTAGTTATTCTCAGTAGGAATGGGAACTGTTTTATCAACCCCCAAAACATTCAGCGGATGTCAGTGCTCGTAAGGTTCATGGGGCCGGCGCTCAGAAAAACTGTTTTTTTTATGTTCGCGTTGTTTTTTGCAATCATCGTAACTGTTATACATCCTTTTGCGTCCTTCGCGTAGAGACTCTGCTTATTTCAGGCGGACCTTGTTCTTAAGTCGGTGGTAACGTCCTGTGGTCCAAGTTGTTTTTCCTGAAAAAGCATGAAATGGGTTTAACCATGCATGTGATCATTCAGAATATTATTCTCCTCCCCGTATATGGGAACCAAGAATCCATTGGTATCAAAAAGTCCAAAAACATAAGAAACCCATTGGAAAGAGATGTATACTCGAGATAAGTTGACAAGAGCATGCAAAAACCCGGACCCCTTGAAACTCCCTGAGTCAGGTGCGAACGGTTAACGGTTTCCGGAAGTGCAAATCTCCTTATTAGAATTCAGTAACTAGCGGTGGAATCAACACCAAAGTTTATTAAGTTGAAAACTTTGCTCAGTTAGGCTAAATTTCAAGACCCTTGGACCCCTAATTCCGATTTCATACCATAAGTGAACAGTCCCCCAGTTTTCCATGTGGCCATTTTTAGCACCCTATTAACACAGGGAGCCAAAACAATGAGATATGATATGGCGGTAGTAAGGTACAATGTGTGTTATAATTTGAACCAGAGCCAGCCGCTGAAGCAGCTGTTGCTCTTGGCATTTTGAACTATTCACGCTACGGGAATGAGATAGCTTACGACCATGTGTCGAAGGTAACAAATTACACTTTAGGACTAGTAGCGCCGAATTAGCTTTTTTGTTCCGACTTTCGATACGAAAGTAACGGAATATTTGTGCTCGGGGTGGGTTTTTTTTTCTTCAGACAAATTTCGACTTTTTAACTAGCCATTTTTGACGGAATTTTTTTTATATCATTTAAAAGGTATTGTTGTCCTGAGCTTAAATTTGAAAAGATATTTCATCTGTGATCATTTTTCGTAAAGCTATGAGGGTTTAAAGATTGCCATTTTGGCCATTTTGACCAATTTGGGACAATTAACGCGCGATATATTTCGCTCTATTAACGCGTAAGCGAAGATTTAATCCGTCTTAGAAATCGTTCCAAATTGGTTGAACGAAACTTATTTGCCATAATTGATTTGTTACAAGGAACGAAATCTATACTTTTGTAATTTATATGGCGTGTGGGGGAGGGGAATGTTTTTCATAAAAAATTTCAAATTTAGAAAAAAGTTTTTCATTTTATTTTATTTCATTAAATTTTTTAATGTTATTACTGCTCCATAAAACTTAAAAGGCAGTCGGAACATTGAGGGCTTCGCCCTGACACGAGCAGTTTTGTTAAAAATTAAAATTCAAACAGACAAACAATTTAAAAGATAACAAACAGCTTGCCCTTGGGCAGATCAATCATTAATATGCTAGAGCATATGATAAAATGTTACTTTGTTGTAGCTAATTCTAATTTAAAACTATTAAAAAGAATAAGAATTAAGATGAATTAGTCGGTAAGTTAAAACATTAAAACAATGAGAGATCATTCTCTCCGCCGGAGAGAATGGCCAATGAAGGTCATAGAGGAGTGACCTGTTAATTAAAACTAAATACGTTTTGCAATAAAGGCAAAATATGATGCAATCACAACATTCCTCTAGGCAGGAAAAAATTTTAATTTAAACTTAATAAGTACGATATACGAAATAACTGAGTCTGAGTCCTTTCTCCCCCTTCAAGGACGAGGAAAAGAATTTAAAGCACCGCTAAATAAGAAACTGAAATTAACTAAAGCGCCACTATAGTGCTAAGTACTGCACCGATGGAATGAAGATATGGTTATCCGGTATCCGACGGAAAAGATGTAAGAAAATTAAAGAAATTAAAATACGACAAAAATATCACCGCGATTTAACGACAGCAAGGTATTACATCGCGTAAGATAAATGTAATGTCCGATAAGGATTTTATGACAGCAGGGTGTGGTGGGTCAAATTATGGATAATTACCACGAAGGAATTGATTAGTTACGAAAATTAGTGTACACAAAATCTTCCAATTCAATTGTAAGAAATATAGCTTAGCGCCGGTGTGTGAAAATGGGATGTACTCGAGAAAAAGGTTGGTATTATGCTTGTTGATTACAAATTTCTGTACTCGTTTAAAAAGTTTTCTAGTTCGGCGTTAAAGAGTTCACTATCAAGTTCGGAATGATCTTCGAAATTTTCCACTTCCATCCTTAGTGATTCATTGGTTGATGGGGTGGATGTCTGGTCTGGAGATTGCGAATTTGAGTCCAATAAAATTAACTCCGCCGGAGCCGTGTTGTTGTCTGTCTCGTGAGTAATGATATCGTCGATTTCTATCACGATGGGATCAGCTGCTGAACCAGAGGCCTTTTGTGATTTGCCTACGGCATCTATAAAATATATTTGACCGTAAAATTTTGGTGGGCCAACATTTCTACTAGAACGGCGGATTGTGGGGAGAACTATACCAGGTACGTTAGTAGGGTTGAGAGGTGGAGTGCACTCGTCCGCTGAATCAATTATCTCGTACACCGGGAAATCTGTAATTGAGCCCAAATCCGTTGGATTATGTTCATCCTGTAGGTCCCGTGGTTTGATGGTGGATTCTTCCTCTCCCTGGGTTGTAGTTTTCTGTTCTAGTGCGCTAAGAGTTCGATTAGCGGGAATAATGCTTATTGGGCACTCGTGAGTCTGATCCTCGAATTGAACTCTATTTAGGTCCGTATCGTCTTCTAAAATATCAGATTTTATTTCAGTATTGGTTACGCCGGAATTAGGGTCGATTCCATTTGGGAAATGAGTTGTGTTTAAGTCTGAAATAAAGCGCTCTCTGGCTACATCCCTACAAGGAAAACCGCCCGCTATCCATTCCCATTCGCTAGTATGCAAAATATGATGCAATCACAACAGCATAGTTGGTTCTCTTCAGTGGGGGAACAATTTTTGCGACGCCAATAAACAGTTGATGCTCAAAGAGTTAGAATAGTGGATGATGCTTGTGAGAAAAAAATTTCTGCCCAAATAACGGCAGAGCGAAAGGTAGAGAATTATCCAGAGCGAGGGAGAATTGCTTCAGCTATCGAGGAAAATAATTTTATTAGAGAAGCCAGTAATGTTCAATTTTGTATTACGGAAGCAATTAAATATGCATGTCAGGGATCGATTGCCTAGTGAATTAATGCATTGTATTCCGGTCAAGTTACAGGCGCTTCTGTAGTTAGTCAACTGTTTGAGTCGAACTAGTCATCAGAGACGTTGCGATTGCATGGAAGAGGGACAGTCGACGAACACGAAAAAGGCACAGAACAGAATTGAAGATTTAGTAACTCACCACCAAACTAATCCTTTCAGGATTGTGAGTTGTGATGTGTCTTGGACGCCCCGCCCATCTCAAAACCAAAGGGATGATTCGCGGCATAGAGTGGGTGAAAAGCTAAGAAAAGAGAACCCCCGAAACTTACAATTTCTAATCATTTTGTTTCGGTGAAGCATTTTCTCTAATGGATTTTTCAATGTTATTTTCAGCCTTATGATTTTCTGATTAAGAGGCGGGTGATAAACTAATTGCTGCTGCCGCAAACTGACACTAAAAATACAGAGAAACCGCAGGTAGTTAGCAATATTCCCACCTCCTGTCTTATGCAGTTTCATTAAAAATAAATTCATTTCAATTTTTATAAAGCACGCGTTTTAGATATCACATACTGAATGTGAACCAAAGCTAGTTTATGACTAGCCGCTAAAAATTCTTGGGTCATTTTACTTATTCCGCTGAAATTCGCAAAATCAACATACGAAAACATAACAGAAAAAAGTCGAATCTGATTGGTTGAAATTGAACTTTGAACAACGCATTCAAAACATAGCAGTGGGTGCGAAATACGTAAAAAGACCCAAAATATTCTGTTCTAATTGTGGTCGATTCAGTCCAGAGCAGGAGAGTATGGTATCTCGTGAAGGGTGGTCAACATCAAAGAAGCAGTGCCGCTGACCAAAAAATGCCACGCAGTATGCAGCATAGCGTGAACTAACAATGCCCCGTCACTTTGCTTCTCAGTGCCCCCCGGGTCTTTGTCTTGAGGGGGGAAAAGAAGCATTAATAGGTAGAGTGCCCCACTCATAGTGAAAAGGAGCGCTAAAGTGCTAGTGTCGGCCGTGAACCAACCCATACCCCAGCCATCGTCGTTATCTTTCGATCCAGACCCGTCTTCCTTCGCTGAGGCATCGCTTTTCTCCTCCTCGTTTCCCGTGTTTTTGTGTCCCTTTCCCCTATTTGGGGGCCGGGATGGTTTGCTGTCTTCGTCTTCATCGGTCTCAGCTATGTCGCCTTCAAATTTACGGAACAGTTTCTTGCTCAACTAAAACAGTAATTTAAATTAGGGTTTTTTGAGCAAAATAACTTTTCGCTGCTCTCATTCATGTAAGTTATCATTTTGGCAAAAGGACATTGCTGAGCAGAAGTGCGAAACTAATTTTTCAATCAATTGCCCATTTTATGTTTTAAGCTCTTCGGAGTAGTGTAAAAAGCGTTTGGGACAAAATAAAATCACCAACGTATTTTGCTAAATCGCCAACGAGTTTGAATGAAACTGACCCATTTCTCGAAGGCGGTTGCTTTGGCGATGACGAACACTAGGGCGTCCAAAATTACCTCTGACCCGATGCTTCTCTGCAACACCAGAGCTTGATAGGCCAGAATCAGAAGAGTAACCTCTAAAACCTTAAGAAATTATAGAGAACCTGGAAAAATTCGACAAAAGTAGAAAAATTTGGTCAGCACTTCATGTTGGTTGAAGAAAATTTCATTTTTTAGTTTTGAGTGACAAAATTTGTAAGATCTTCTCATGAAAACCATTGCTATTTTATTTTCATATATTAAGTATTTTTGAGTGTTTCATCTATCTAATGCTCAATTCCATTGTGAGCAAACAGCAGTGCAATGCATAAGAGTAAAATCTTCATAATTGAAAAACAAAAGAGCCATTCAAAATTCAAAAGGAAATTTTCTCGGCCAAAACGGAACGCCGAACATGCCATCATTTGGTTCATGTGAGCAAAGCGATCTCTGAATCTCTTGATATGACTGCAATCCGAACATCTTGGTAAAACTCTAGAATAAGGTTATAGTCAGGGGCGGATCTAAGATTTTCTCGAGGGGGGGGGCGGATTTTCAAAAAATTTTCGAAAATTTTGACGATCTTTTTTTTAGGTCGACCAAATTCATTTTCCGAGCTCTCCTAAAGCAGTAAAAAAAACGCTGTTTTGGCTAAATTTTCTGCGCCGCAGGCAAATTTTTAAAAAACAGGTCAAAAAAGCCGTTTTTAGGTACTTTTTGAAAAATTTTGACAAAAAAATTGCGCTTTTTTTGGCGCGCGCTCCCCCTCAAAGTTAGTATATATTGGCGCCTAAGGCGCCTTTAGAAAATTTTTAGGGCCGGCCGGCCAAAAATTGATTTCTTAAAAAGTACCAAAGGGGGGACCCTTTAGGTCGGCAGGGAGTAGAATCCCTGAGGAGGGGGCGTCAGCTCTCCCCCCCCCCCCCCTAAATCCGCCCCTGGTTATAGTGGATGTAAAATTGTATTGATTCAGTCAAAAAAAATAACGCATAAATCAACTTCCACCAATAATGTTCTAGAACTGCAAAATCCACAAATTATGTGGTAGCATTTTGGTTTCCACCAATCAGATACAAAAAGTTTGATTTCCAACCATCAAGTTCTAGCGTTTAGGTTATCGCACATCATTTTCTATAACATCGATTTCCGCCAACTAGGTTCGAGCATAAGGATATGCAACCAGGCTGACCTGCGAGTACTAGTGGTGCCCTATGGTAGATGGATATGCCACAGTAGAGATAGGTGGCATCCAGTACCAGTAGATAACCCAGTGCCCTGGCCCAGGCGGCACAGGAGTCAGTCTCCACCAGACACCAGTCCAGACTTAGCTCACACGCATCACTCATCTGTCTCAGAGAAAACATACCTTATAAGGCAGACTGTAAAGTGAACATTAGTCAAGTTTTCTCACCCCTTCGAGTATAGTTTCATAAAGTAAGGTACTTTTAAAATATTTGATGTATATTTTGATGCAATTTGTTCTTTTGAAATGATTTGGAAAAAATACATTTTCTTATTTCTGTTTTTCTATCTTCCGTCTCAAAAAATGGATTTGTTCAACTCATACACCACCCCAATAGTTAGTTTTCAGTATGAATTTGTCTGAAGGTTGTTCAAATAGACATTAGTTCTATGTCAAGAAAATTGATCAGATCAGTGTTCTACATGTTTGAACAAAATATGAGAAAAAAAATGACTAAGATTTAAACTGAGAGTTTAAAAATTGGTCGAAGTAAAGTAAAAGATTTTAGAGCAAGCTATTCAAACAAATAAACAGGATAGTGGAATTTTTCAAAATAGCTCAGGTGAATTATCGCTGTTTATTTTTGATTGTTAAAACTCGGCCTTAAGAACTTCAGCTTAACAAACTAAAATCGTAAGGCTAGCTTTAAAGTATTGACGAGTTTAGGTTTATTATAATATCATTAGTATTATCAACACATGCTTAGTTTTTTTAAACATATGCCAATTGAAAATGACAATCATCATCGACAAGTTCAACTTTTCATATGGAATCCGGAAAAATCCGGGAACGAAATTCGAAAATAGATCACAACAAACTGAAAATTGAAAACGGTTAGGTTGAATTAACTTTTCCGTGCAACCAACTAATTAAATAGATTTAACATAGAATATTACTGTCATTTCATTTGGAAACAATACTTAAGCATTCGAACCAGTGATGCTCTAATCCAAGAAGACATCAACCTCAGTGCAGAGGAGCCGGAAAGATTGAACGATATCTGCAGCCAATACGAAAACCCTAATGATATAAGTTTTCTGACTTCATCAACAACGACGTCGCCCTTGTGATTGGAATGGAGAATATCGACATAATTAGTCCCAAGATCATCATATTAAAAAGAAATCAAAACGTTCCTCGAGCAGCCCTTACAGTCCCAGGATGCAATACCAAACAACGAAATTGCAAACTTCTCGAGCCATCAACGAACAGCGACTCTGATACAGATATCAACTGACGACAAACCAATCTCGGATCTTCTCGCTGCGTTCTGGCGAACAGAAACTTACGCCAGATCACCTGAGATAACGATGTCATTTGACGAAAGTCACGCTAACACTTCGGAAAATCATTACAATTTACGACAACCGCTACTAACTCGGACTTCTGCAAAAACCAAGTGCGCATCTACCAAACATCTACAAAGCAACAATTGCCCGATACCGCCGGGTGAAAATACGACTCAAAAAGAATTTGAAAAAATTTGCCCTCTACCAGGATACAATTGACAAGAATCTCAGTAAGAACTACATAAGAACCTTAAAGGGAGACAAAATACCCTCAACAGAATGGAACATACCAGAACATGGCGTAATTAATTCAAAAAAAAGAGGAAAACTTGTCGTTTTTCTAATGCCAAATCCAAATCCAAGTTTAAAGGAGTTTGCAAAATGACACGTTTCTTAATGACCCTGTTTTGCTTTGAAACCTACTAGGATTAACTACCCATTTTCGTGAACGAAAGCGCCCTATCACTGCCGACATTGAAGGAATGTACATGCAGTTTTTTATAAGGAGCCCAGAAGACAGAAAAATATTTTGTTTCTTCTTGAGAGCCGAAGCACCAGAATATTTCGAGTACACTAGATTCGTTTTTGGAGCTAAACCTTCTCCGTCTTGTTCAATTTGAACATTAAGAACTTGCGCTGACGAGAACGCTGAAAACTATCCACAAATTCATAAAATTGTACACGAGAAAATTTTGGGCGACTTCTTAGAAGCAACTTGTGAAAATAATGTAAGACCTTCGACATGTACTACATCAAAGAAGCTCTATCTTGACGAAGTGGATGACTAGGGTTGGGAGAGTTCGGTTGTGGTTCTGCAGACGCAACCAAAAGAACACAGATCTATCAGCGTAGACGAAATCATGGACTCAACCACCTGAAGCGAATCCGCGGAATGCGATGGAGAGTAAGGAACGATTCAATCAGCTTTAACACTGGTCAACTGCAGGACCTCGTCCAGAAAACCGCCAAAACAGAACCTACTTCGCGCAGCCCTGTTAATTTTTGACTAAAAACGAGAAGCAGCACCTATTACTATTCGATTTCGAATAATAAAGCAAGCTGTATAGAAAAAGGGAAAAAATGAGACGACCAAGACACACCAGGCTTGATACCGGAATGTTTTGAGCTTCTAGATGAGAGAAACGACCTAGAGACAGTAGAAATATTTCGACACTTTTTTGGATACAGCTAAGACAACATCGGTCTTCATGTTTTTTTTTTCGGATGACCCGACAGCGCCTTAGCATCAGTCGCTTGTTTTGTGTATAGCAACAAAGCGTCTCAGCAAAATAGTATCATAAAGCTCATGAAAAACTAGAAGCTCGAGAAACTAGGAAAAAATTGTTCCAGAAAAAACTTGAGTTGCTTCTTTAAAACAGCACTCAATAACTAAGTTGGAGATAAAAGCCGCAGTTTCTGGTGCTCGACTTGGAAAATTTGGAAACATTGCCTAGAACCCCTAATCCCAGCAGACGAAGGAATCCGCGATATACATCAAAAACAAATCAGTGGCAAATCAAGATGATTCATCGGAATACAATTTGTAGTAAATAACAATGCAAATGGCCGAAGCTACAGATACTTCGCTACTCAACGATCGAATTTTACAAATGGGTGAAACAGAAATAACGCCAGTGCTAGCTTTCCAAGAAAGAATACAACTTCATCAATTACAGCAGATTCTCCAACTGGACAAGAATTGTTCTAACTTCAGCATACGTGATACGTGCGCCAGTATTTTCAGCAAAAAAAAAATGTATTCCCTCAACAAAAACCCAACCAACCAACTGACAAGCGAAATTTTCATATAAACCCCGCAAAGAGCTTCATCTTCAAGCAGAGACAACAAAACAACTTTAATGAAATGGTCAACGCTCTGAAATAAAAACTTCTAATCGAGACCAATTGCAGACTTTGACATGTGTCACCATTCCTTGTCAAAAAAGGATTTTTGCGAGCACGTGGACGCCTCAAAAATATTTAATTGGAGTATTGTACAAAACACCCAATAATCCGGCGGAAACTACTCATTATTTCGCCTCTTTATACGACAAAAGCCACAAAGACAATCAGCGTTCACCTAGCCAGCACACAACAAATCGTTTACAAAACGGTTATTGGATTCTTCGTATGCTCAGAGGCTCAGCCCGTCCAGCTTCAACAATTAGTAATACATCTCTGTTGACCATTTGCCTCAAAAACCGCAGAAAAAAAAAACCGCTACGGCGTTTCCATGAAATGCCGAACAATACGAGCCGTTGATCTCGAGATGTTCCAGGAGAAATCAACCGACACCTTCAATAAGGCCTTAAGATGAGTCTTCACGCGTAGAGGAACAGCAGCAAAAAATTGATTCTGACTATGATACAAGTTTGACCGCAGCCGAAGAGAAACTCAAGAGACACTTCGACGCCGACGTTGCAAGATTGTTCCACGCCAGCCATCGGATTGACTATACCTTCAATCTCGCCTATGCTGCTTAGTTTGGTATGTGTTTGGGAACTCATATGATTGGTTAAAAACTTGTTCTATGCCATCATTAGAAGCCAGACTCTAATAGACGACACATTCAACACCGTTCTTTGCAAAGCTGAACACTTCATGAATGCAAAACCCATCACTACAGTTTGATCTTGGCCCGATGAAGTTAAACTCTTCACCTCAAATCGCTCGGGAGAGTAAATGGCAGCATGCCACCTCTGCAACTCCAACAGCCATCGACAGCCGATCGAAAATTGCAATTTGCCCAACAGCCCGCTTCCTTTATTCAGAAACGCCTGATCATTTAACTGTACCAACACTACTTCTGGGAAAACGATGTACAACGAAGACTAGAAATTTTAAACCGTCGAAACATGGGACAGACTTTTGTCAATACCAGCCATTAGACTAGCACCTATTGTTCTGGACTATTGCAAAGACTCAACGGACAACGATTTACGACAATGAGAGTCTCAGCTTACAACAGCCTTGCCGATAACTTCAGCTGACACTTATACGACACAGCGCCAACGTCCTAAAATATAGAGGTAGGAATCAAACCTCACCTTTTTCGTAAGGTAAATTGCAACTGAACAAGGAGGCCGAGTGTTATATGCAAATTTGACAACTGACAATCGTTTTAGACGTGATTTTTTCTATGATTAGCTAGTGATTTTTTCAATGATTCTTTCAACAGGACTTGTATGTATAGTATCAGGTTCAATTATACTTTGCAAAAACAGAACAAGAATGGACAGTTGGGGGACAAGTAGCACGGATAGTGTCAAACGCTGCTCTTACGAAAACAAAAAAAAAACGTTTTTATTAGGTTTTTGGATCTTATGAAAACCATTCCGTTGGGAGAAGATTCAAAACCTAACTCAAGCAAATTTAACGGCAATTTTAATCGAAAAAAAATGTTCAGCTTAGTGAGCAGCCTCGCTTCAATTATTGTTTTTTTCTCATTTAATAAGCGCTTTTGATTATTTCAAAACTCTATCGATCTTTTTCTACGAATGGACATATTTGTATATTACATCGTTCAATTCCACAGTGCAAATTAAACAGGGCAGTTGTGGGACAACTAGCACGGAGATTTCCAGACCCCGCTCTCAGCAATAGAAAAAGTTTTTATATTTTTTTCGAATTTTTTTTTGCAAAACAGCTCCGGGGGGAGAAATCAAAACCTAGTACAAACATAAATTTTTTACAAACCAACATTTTTTAATGAAACAGAAACTTTTTTCAAAAACAGCATAAGCAAATCATCAAAAAGTAAGATCATTAAAAATAAAGTTGTTTCACTCCAAAGAGTTCATGTATCAATTTACAATAAAAAAAAATTAGAAAAGTTTTCTCAAGTTTGTTTTTTGGTTTTTTATTCAGTCAAATTTTTGGCAATCAAAATAACAAACTTGAACATAATGATTTTAAACCCAGTCAAAAATATCGATACTCAACAAAAGTATTTTTAGCTTCGGGGGTTGAAAATCACCCGTTTCGCCAACATGAACCCTTTAAACTAAGCACCCTTTAAACTTTTTTGTGTGCTGAAAGTGTAATGCGAGTTATATATTCGTAGTGATTCCTCTCACTGAAAAAGCATTCCAAATCGAAGTGATGCAAGCTAAACGGTTGCATACAACTCAAACTTTCACATTTATTATTTGTTTTTTTTTTTCAAATTACTTTCTTTTTCTTTTTTCTTTGCTCATTTTCATTCAATTGTGATCAAAGAGTAGTCGGAACATTCAGGAATTGTTCTTGATATGTACGAGCAGTTTTGATTTTTTTTTAAAAAATTTTTTACAAATTTTTAAGCCAGCCGCTCATTAAACCAGTTGATTTGTATCCAGCATAAAAAGCAAGCTAGTGTTCCGACTTTCGTGACAAAATTAACGGAACATTTTTGCCGGATTTTTTTTTATAATCATTCAAAAAGTTTTGTCCTCAGCTTAAATTTGAAAAATTGTTCACCTGGGATTGTTTTTCATAAAGTTATGGGGGTTTAAAGATCGTCATTTTGGCCTATCGGGACCATTAACGCGCGATTATTTTCGCGCTATTAACGCGTAAGCGGAGATTTAATCCGTCTTATAAATAAATCCAAATGGTTGAAGGAAGCTTGTTCGCCATTGCTGATTTGTTACCATGAGCAAAAACTATCACTTTCTAGTTTTGACGTGTGGGGGGCGTGCCTGGACAATTCTGTCTCAAATATTTATGTCCCGGACAAAACTGTCCGAAATTCAAAGAAAAACCAAGATATTTGATTCCCAGACAAAACTGTTCAAAACTGACCAAAATTTGTCCAACTAATTGCCAACCTAAATAACAATCCAATTTTTGAAAAAAGAATAAGAAGGACTAATTTGGTAAAGCACTGCAACTGTGCTGTTAGGTCAGAATTTTCTTGAAAATTCAAATCATTTACACATACATAAACAAATATCAGTTGGTTGATGCTTACGCCAAACGTAGCTAAGATTGATTGTAGGATCATTATTTCAGCTTTTGATTTCGTGTTCAACAATGGAAGTCCTCATGACAAATAGAAACAATTAATTGCAATTTCATGATGCATACGCTTATTCCAAACATCGAATTTTGATACCAATTTCCTGGCGATGTGTTATATCAAAATGTAATGGCCGTACGCATTTTGAAGATAAAGTCACTATTATAAGTGATCATAGCCATTAGTCATTACCTAGATCCAGTCGACATTGAAAAACGAAAATCCAGCAGAGCTCTTAAAACTAGAGCAGTTGTAGCACATGCATCACCTCGACAAACAATTCTTCGCGTTCAAAGCGACATAAAAAGAGAAACTGCACCAGTCATTCCAATTCGTTCAGCCAATCAGAGAACCGTCATTAGAGCCAAGCAGGAAAAACGGCCTAGAATGGAGGAACGAAAATCATTAATTGATTTTGAACTACCATAGCTGCTGAAAATGACTCACACTGGCGAACGTTTCCTTCATTTTGGCTCAAGATCAGCTGAAACTTAGCAGCGACTTATGGTTTTCACCCCTCTTCCAGGAATGGATCTTCTTAGTGTTGCTGATTATTGGATCTGCGATGGTGTTCAAGGCCACAAACGTCTGAGACTCTGATGCGAGCAGTCTTGTTGGAATTTGAACCGGTTCTCGAAAGATGTTACTCGAATGACTTGCAGCCTACTCCGTTAATAATCGCAAATTGTTCCGACTTTCGTAGAAAGTGACGGAATGTTTCTGATCGTAGTGGCTTTTTTTCTTCAGATAAATTTGGATTTTTAGCTTGCCAATTTTGACATTTTTTCAGATCAACCAAAAATTGTTGCTCAAGTTTCAAAAAAAATTCACTTTTTTCCGAAGTGATGAGTGTTTAATTTTGCCAATTTGGCCGATTCAGGAGAATTGACGCGCGAAATATTTTATGATATTAACGTATAAGCGGAGATTTAATCCGTCTCAGAAGAAATCGTTTGAAATTATAATGAGTCATGTTATTTGATTTGATCTATTTGTTATTAAATGCTACAAGCTAAATGTTTAACTTTATACTTAAAATAGCGTGTGGGGAATGACTTTCGCAAAAAAAAACATAAAAAATAGGTCTTGCAATTTTTTTGAAAGCCATCAACTTTTTCTAAAGCGAGCATTGCTCATTATAGCTTTAAAGGTCACACAGAATTTTCAAGGCTTTACCCCGATTCGTGTCTTGTCGTTCCGAGTTTCCTAACGAAAGTAACGGATTATTTGTTCTCGGGTTTGTTTTTTTTCTTCAGACAAAATTCGACTTTTTAACTGGCCATTTTTGATGAAAATTAGACCATTCAAAAGGTATTGTTGTGTTATGTTTAAACTACAAAAGATATTTTACCTGTGATCATTTTTCGTAAAGTTATGGGGGTTTAAAGACTGCCATTTTAGCCAATTTGGGACAAAAATTTTTGGTCTTAGAAATTTATCCAAATTGGTTGAAGCAAGCTTACTTGCCGTAATTGATTTTTTATTGGGAGCAAAATCTAAGATGGCGCGTGGGGAGATGATTATCACAAAAAATCTCAAATCAAAAAAAAATTTTCGCTTTATTTTTTTTTTACATTTAATTTTTTCATGTTAGTACTGCTCCATAGCCCTTAAAAGGCAGTCGGAACATTCAGGGCTTGGCCCTGATACGAGCAGTCTTGTTAAAAGTTGCCTAGATTTCTTACTAAAACCATAAAACTGCAAATCATCAAGTTCACTAGCTCAATTTGGGATATTTCAGTGAATTTTCAGTAATGATTCATTCAGTGGAAAATCAGCAGTTATACTGTCGAGTTTTCTTCCAAAATGTTTAGTAGCCTGCCTAATTGTTTCTACTCACATTCAAATGATTGAGTCAGTTGATAACCCTTATAATCTAGTATAACCAAAGTGTTAGTGTAAGAAAGTTGACAAAAAGAGAATTATTCAGTTGTAGATTTGCTTTTGCAGCTGAGATTCAAACTGTAAAAAACTGAACTCACCAAATGGACTACGACAAAACAGATAAGTGCCCAACACTCCAGAAGAAGTTTTCTCTTGTAAGCTACTAGAGCGGGTATGAGAAAGAGGAGAGCAGACGCAGCCACTATGCAGTCTCCCACCCGAACAACAACCCACACTGGGCCTACAAAAATGAAAGTAAAAGTATGATAGGTGGGTCCCATTAAAATTGATTATAAGATTGAAACGGTCTTCTCCGTTTTATACCCCCTGCCTAGCAACAAAAAAAAATAAAAACCCCCCTCAAACGATTTTACGATTGCGCTAGGGAAAGGCTATATTTTGCTGGATGACGGAGAGGGGGGCTATGATGGCAAAAACCCGATAAAAATGGTGTAATTACAAACGATGAGCGCTCAGAATTTATTATTTGTTTGATTTTTGGCGCCACGTGTTTAATTTAATCATCAAATTGTTCAGTCTGGTTTGAAAAACTGTACCTAATTGATATAAATAGTTTGCACGTAAAGTGTGTTGTCCATACTGATATACATGTTTTGTTATTCAACCAATCCCCCAGTTTTTCTTGTTGCTAAAAATTTTCCCAAATATGATACTTCATTATATCCAGTCTTATCTCCACGCAGATTTGCAGAGTAGAGAGCCCCTATCAAAAAAACACAATTTTTTGCTCAAATCCTTGATTCAAAACTTTTGTCTCAAAAAATGTTTTTTTTTTCTGTAGTCATAAAGAATTACACGTTTTCCCAAAAAAAGATATTATTGTACAAACCATCGTCGTCATTATTGTCATTGCCTCCTATGGCACCCGCAAGGAGTACAGGTGGGTGGGCAGCACCTGTTAATTTGGCATCAATGGGAGGTGAACCGGTGAAATCACCCATTGCACACGGATAGCCAGTCAACAATACTGTTCCTTCCAATTTTTCAAGAGAATAATTAATTATGACATTAAATGTAACTTATCTAAGATTTAGAGGATAGTTTAAGCTGAAGAGTAGACTTGTAATAATTACATTGTCCGAAATGGTGAAAACAACATTTATTTGTGAATTTTTTTATAGAAATGCTGCCGTATTAGTCCTATTAGATATTGAACTATATGTATGTTATGACACCATATTGCACTAGTTGGTATAAAACAAACGATAAAAAATATATTTATCTTTTATCGTTCAAATAGTTTAAATGCGGTTGAATTCCGGTTTATTTAAAGTGTCACGGTAGTTAAGATCGAGGTTAGCTCTGTTTTTCCATGTAACATGTGTTACAGTTGTTAAAATTTTTGAACCGAATCAATCACATCAAAAACGACACAAAATGTTTTTTCATTGATTTTGTTTCATCAATAGTCAAAACACTTGTTTTTCATTTGTTCAATGAATTCCCTAAGAGATGGCTGTTTAAAAAACATGACCATACTGCCGAACAAACAATACTTGTATCATCGGGCAAATACCATTGATTTAAATTAATTATAGTAAAATACTCGATTTTGTATCATCGGAAAAAAAATTTGTTGTTTGACTTTCGAAGAAAACGCGGAATAGTTATGCTGGGGAGGTTTTTTTATTCAGTCAATTTTCAACTTTTTAGCAAAGCATTTTTAACAAGATTTTTTATACCATGTGAAAGATATGGATTTTCTGAGATCAGATTTATAATATATGTCACCTGTGAACTTTTTTGAAAAGTCAAGGTGATTTGAAAATAGCTAATTTGGCCAATTTGGAATACTTAACGCGCGATTTATTGCGTTCTTATTATACTTGTAAGCACGGATTAATGCATTCCAAATTGAATTGACGCAAGTTACTTGGTAGTATTAAAATGATTAAAGAGGTCAAATACGCCCTTTTGTAGTTTTTACAGTAGCGTGTGGGGGGACTTGAGGAGAAAAATAAAAATAAAAAATCTTTTTTTCTCAATTATTTTGTAAATGTTCAAACAAAAATTTTAGGATAGAGCAAGCATTTGAAACATTGAGAGCTTCGCCCTGATATACGATCAGTCTTCTTGTTCGGACTTTCGACACGAAAGTAACGGAATGCGTGCGCTCGGGGTGGGTTTTTTTCAGACAAAGTTCGACTTTTTAACTAGCCATTTTTGACAAAATTTTTTCTTATAACATTCAAAAAGTAATGTTGTCCTGAGCTTAAATTTGACTAGATATTTTACTTGTGATCATTTTTCGTAAAGTTATGGGGTTTAAAGATTGGCATTTTAGCCAATTTGAGACAATTAACGCTCGATGTATTTCGCGCTATTAATGCGTAAGCGGAGATTTAATCCGTCTTAGAAATTGGTTGATGGAAGCTTACGTAACTAATTGATTTGTTACTAGGAGTAAAATTTATCACTTTACTCTTTATATGGCGTGTGGGGGCATGGTTTTCACAAAAAGCTCAACGTTAAAAAAAATCATTTTTTTAAAATCCTTTTTTTTTACATTTAATATTTAGGCATTTAGAACATTCAAGGTTTCGCCCTGATACGAGCAGCCGTGTTTTTATTACTTTCATAAAAGGCTTTACGCCAAAAAATTTTGCACTGCAAGAAAACTTTCAGCGCATGCAACAGTGAAACTTGAAACAGAAAGTATTCCCTTCGTGAATTTTTTATAAACACAAATACTTTGTTGTTCTCAAAGTAAGAAGCATAGAAGCTAGAAACTAAGGTTAAATTTATTTTAAGTTTTACTGCTTATAGGAGGATTGCTATCATGATCGGCTGGTTAATAATAACATGTTAAATTGGTCGGAAAAAATACTCGCATCATGTTATCTCCGTGAAAAATCCGACTTGTTTTTAACGTCTATAAATTGTTTTTTGATTTTAAAAACCTCAATAATTTTTTAAGAACTTGAATTAAGTTGTAATTTTATCGTGTTTTTAGCGTCTTGGAAGCTATTAATTGGGCCATACAGTTTACTTCAACTCAAGTTGACACTAGTTTTGACCTGGATTAAATGACCTTGCACGATGATTTGACAGCGCTCTGGTTTTCTCTAAATGGACAAAACTATCGATTTGTGAATTTTTACAGCTGTGAGAAAAAAGATCACAGGTGAAAGATTGAGACAACGTTTCAGCTGTGTACGTCAAAATTTTAGGATGGTACAAAAAACCTTGTCAAAAGAAACTAGTTTAAAGTATAGTTTAGGAGGAAGCAAAAAATCGCACAGAACACAAACATGTTGTCAATTTCTTCAAAAGTCGGAAGAAACATAAGCAGTTTAATGTTCATTGTTTCGGAAAATAATGACTCATTTCACTATACTTTTGCGACAATAAAACGTTTTTTGCGAACATAATTATAGTTGAAACGACCTTTCAAAGAAATTAAAATTTATCCTCAAACAGCATCTGTTCGTTACATCTAATTTTTATTACGGTTACAAAGCAAACAAATTTTAAGTTTCTTCCCCTTACGAGGCCAAAAAATAGATTTCAGTCATTAACACAACTGGCTAATAACTGCTTGTCAAACCAAATATATTGCTTGTCAAACCAAAAAAAAACCAAGTGTTTTAATTGCATTTATTGCTTCTGATATAATTATTGACAATTAAATGACAAACTGTTCAACGTAATACACTTGACGAAAAAAAGTTTGATATTAAAACTTTTTTAAAAAATCGTTCCAGGCATGAAATGTCGAAAACAAAATGACCTCCCAACGCAACAGTCACATCACAAAGTTTGACTCAATTTAGTTTGCAGCACTATCTGAACCGGATGATTAAGCTTACCACACTATGCAGCTAAATTGAAATGGAATTTTTAAAAATAATTAATACCAATTTGTTCTATTTGAAAATATTCCTGTCCTCATGATTGTAGGAAAAAATGGAAACAGCTAAATTAATTTTATAGACAAAAAAATTAATGGCATTCAAATTGTTAATAAACACTTCAGCGATTAGAGGACAATTTTTTTTTAAAATAATCAAACGAAAAGAATAAATTCGTTCTTTTTTTTAAAAAGTAGGATCTAAAAGTCTGATAAAATAAATATAAAATGCAAAAAATTATCCAAATTATCATCTTTTTCCGCAAAAATCAAAATGGAAAAACTTTGTTTCATGTAAAATGTCAGCAGTTGTCATTTTCATGTTAAAATCAAAACGATTATTGTAGCAGCAAGGAAGCTACCTCTTGTATCGACAACTAATTTTTTCCAGGTTCGTTGTTCTTAAAACGGGGAGTGTTTTTAGTTCGTTTGTATTAGGTTGATGAACTAGTATGCACAAAGAAAGACTGCTCCTACCGAAAAAATTTTTGATATGAATAGCTGGACCTTTTTCACCTTTTGAAAATCATTCCATTTCATAGCCTTTTTTGAAAAAAAAACCAAACAAGAAAACTTTTCACGTATAAAATTTGCAAAACTTTGATTAATCGGACTAATAATCGGAGAGATGTTTCTAAAAAAAATTGTTTTCGCTCAAATCAAAAACCATCTTTCAAAGAGAACACTTTTTCGGGTTTGATTTACTTCTCAAACCCAGTAAAATTTGCATTTGATATTCAAATGAGAAACTGGGATGGCGGTGTGATCAAAACGAATCTCGCAACTTTATATCAATGGCGCTAAAATCAGAAAGATCATTGTTCTAGCCAGAGTGCTACTTCTTGTATCGACATCTGATTTTTAACTTTTTGATCTTTTTTTTTCAGCTTGATGAAGCAGTGGGATAAAAAATTTGCTCGTCTGATTGTGAAGCCTTGTAGATTTGGATCGCCGTATAATGTGGTTATTTCATTTCGTTATGACGTTTAATCTTATAGTTTGAAGGTAAGAAATCCCGCAGGCAATGTTATGATGGCAATGATAAATGTTACGTCTACCAACGCATAATTTGCATGACATAGCTTGATTCTTTTCATTTGGAAGCAATTTTAATTAGAATTTTATTCTGCTTAAAAAATGTACAAAACAATGAATGAAATTTTTTTAAATTTGAGATTTTTTATTTAAAAAATCAGCCCCCACACGCCATCTAAAGCACAAAGTGATAAATTTCGCTCTGCTATTGAATCAATTACGGTAAACAAGCCTTCTTCAACCAATTTTGAACGATATCTAAGACGGAAATAAATCTCCGCTTACGCGTTCATAGCGCGAAATACATCGCGCGTTAATTGTCCCAAAATGGCTAAAAGGGCAATCTTTAAACCCATAATTTTACGAAAAGTGATCACAGGTGAAATATCTTTTCAAATTTTAAATCAAGACAACAATACCTTTTGAATGATGTAACAAAAAATCCGACAAATATGGTTAATTAAAAAGTCGAAATTTGTCTGAAGAAAAAAATCACCCGAGCACAAATAATCCGTTACTTTCGTTAGAAAGTTCGGAAAAAAACGCGATAATCGGCTGCTGTTCAAGTATTTCAGAAGGAGCCAATCAAGATGTCTTTGCAACTTCCTAATGATCAAAAAACATTCTCAGTTAATTTGTCTATGGATTCCGAAAGTGTAATCAGGTTTTTTTTGTTGAATAGCCTGGTTGCGAATCACAAAAGATAGCCTTTGGCCTCGTAATGGGCAACAAAACCAGTAGTCTGCGCAAACTATTTGAATTGAAACAATTTGTTTCGGATCAATTTTTCCAGCACCGACTTTTTTTTCAAAATTAGAAAAATTTCACGGATGAAAAAAGAAACCCAATTCATGCGTTCCTTGAACAGGCCAAAATGACTAATTCTATCATCTTTGTTACATGGTTAAAATTCAATTTTTCAGACCTTCTAGCAAATATAGGTACAGTGTTGATATAATTTAACTGGACAAACCGAACAATGCATTTTTAAGCGCAATTTTCTCAATTAGGGTCAAAATAGACAAAAAAAAGAGAACAAAAGTTGGTTAGAACCTGACCAGAATTAATAAAGGGCATTTTTTTCCGAATTTTTCTATCAAAACTGTACCCAAGAAAAAGTTTATTTTGGCTTTTTAATTAATCAATTAGTGCGCTGAAACTACCGAAAACATGCATAAGAGAAAATATTTCTGCTAAATAGCAAAATAAAAGTCACCTTTACTATAAAAAACTCAAAATTTTTTTTAAAAACAGACTTTCCACATTTTGCTTAAAGTTTTGGATATTTTACCTCTGTAAGGTTTTGTTGGACGGTGTGAGAGGTTTCTTTTGGTATAATTTTGTTATTATAGGTATTTTCAGTGTAATTTCA